CTCCAACACTGTCTCCCACCAGCCAGGTCCCTGATGTCCTCCCTCCCTGACATGTGGTACCCTCAGCCCTGACCCCCAAAACATGGCCAATCACCTCCTCCAGCTGAGCAGTGCCTTGAACCCTTCTCCCAGGCTCCCTCTCCCAAAGCTGAGGACAGTGTAGCTCAGCTGCTCTTGAGGCATCTGTAATTACAGCCTCTAGGAAAAGAGGTTCTGGAAACACACCCACCCTCCAACTCACCCCTACCTCCGCCTGGGCCTGAGGACCCAGCCTGTCCCTCCCGTGGCCTGGGGCTCCCACACCCATTCAGGAGCTGGGACCTCTCTGGATCTCCCACCCTCTCTCCCAGGCCTTGTCACTGACCCCAACCAAGTTTGACCCCAGGCCCAAGTGTAACCCCTTCAACACTTCCCATGCTCCCCCTACCTCCGCCTCACATCTGACCTGCCCTCTAGGGCAGCCATGTGATGGTAGAAGGGACCATGGGCCCCTGATCATCCCCCTGGCCAGACCCACCTCCTCTCATGAAGTTCCACCCGCCCGTCCGCCATGGAGAGCCTCTCCGACTCGGGGCTGTTGACCCTCCGGTAGCGAAGAGAACGGACTGGGGTTGTCGGGGAGTCTGGGGGGGCACGCACTGGGGAGCTGGGGACCCCCACACCTCGGCTCTGCTCCTCCTCCACCACACAAGAGGTCTGCAGGAGAGGGGAGTGCTATAAGCTGAGGCTGACAAGGGGGGCGTCAGGTGGCTTTCTCAGGGTGAAGGAGATAGAGGGAGGCAGAAGGATGAGGATGATCCTGAGAAGAGGCAAGGCCAGGGTGGTGAAGGGGACCAGCAAACAGAGGCCAGGAAAGTTGGCATACGGCTGGGGGGGGGGGCGGGCGCTCAGGAGGAGCAGGGTGGGGCCAAGGGCTGGGAATGGGGGGAGCCACGCCTCTCTCCCTGGCTGCAGTTACTTTGCCAATGTTGATGCGGAGCTTGTTCCGGTTAACATCTGTCTCCTCCCAGACCTCGGCCTCAGGACCCCCGGGATGAGGGGTAAGGTGGGGACCTGGGCCCAGCCCCTCGGGGAGCCGCCCAGGCAGGATTGGGGGTGCGTTCTCCTGGTCGCTCAGGTGCTCGCCCTGCAGCACGTCCTCTGTGTTCTCCCGGAGCAGGTCCCCTGGCACCGGCGTCACATTGACTACCCTGAAGAGGCAGGAGGGGGGAAAGGCAAGGCTGGCAGGGTGTCCTCTCTTCCTAAGGTCCCCTCCCACCAGCACAGGCCCTGGAGATCCCCTGCTACACATGAGAGTGGGCACAGAGGAAGCCCAGCCGGGTAGGGGGCGACCCAAGGCCCATCACCATCCTTGGCTCACAAAGCCCCTGAGACCAGACCAGCCTCGAGTGGGCAGAGGGCTGCGGTGCGAGGAGATGTAGCTGCCCCAGAGTGTCCACATCACCCCCAGCTCTATTTACATAGGAGACCCTGCCTCACTTCTTTTAGACCCGGGGATGGCTCTAAAAAGAAGCACTTTGGAGTTTCTTGAGCAATGTCTTTACAGAACTGTGTATCAAAAATGTGCTGCCCCAAATGCGGGCACAACCCAAATGTCCATTGACAGGTGAATGGATAAACAAAATGTGGTATATCCATCCGATGGAATATTGTTGTTGTTGGGTGCTGTTGAGTCGATTTCATCTCATAGTAACTCCATGTGACAGAACAGAACTGCCCCCGTAGGGTTTTCTAGGCTGTAATCTTTATGGGAGCAGATCTCCTGGTCTTTCTCCCATGGAGCCGCTGGGTGGGTTCGAACTGACAACCTTTTGGTTAGCAGCTGAGTGCTTAACCATTTTGCCACCAGAGCTCCTAATGGAATATTACTCAGCCATAAAAGTAAATGATGTTTAATGATGCATGCTACAACATGGATGAACCTTGAAAATATTATGAGTGAAATAAGTCAGACACAAAAGAACAGATACTGTATAATCCCACTTATACGAAATATCTAGATTAGGAGAATGCATAGAGACCAAAGTTTATCAATGGTTACCAAGGACAGGAGGAAGGGCAGAATGAGAAGTTATTGCTTAAGGCATTGAGTTTCTGTTGAGGGTGATAGAAAAATCTGGAAACAGATAGTTGTAATGGTTGCACGCCATATCAAAACCCATTGACGCTGAGTCGATTCTGACTCATAGTGACTCTATAGGACAGAGTAGTACTGCCCCATAGGGTTTCCAAGGCTATAATCTTTACTGAAGCAGACTGCCACATCTTTCTCCCAAGGAATGGCTGGTAGGTTCCAACTGCCGACCTTTCGGTTAGCAGCCGCACAGTTAACCACTGCACCACCCTGGCTCCTTGTTGCACACCATAGTGAACATAATTAATGTCACGGAATTTTACACATAAAAAATGTTGAAATGGCAAATATTTTGTTATATATATTTTTATCATCCAAAAAAAAGAAAAAAACCCTGGAAAAAAATGTGCTGGGAACTCCTACTGGGTCTCCTTCCTTCTTTAATGTGTCCCCTGGAGCCCTCGCCTACTTCTCTCCCTGGCTCCTTCCCGGGGCTGGGTGGGGAGCCCCATCTTACGCTATCCCTCCCTGGGCCACTTCTGTCTTTGGCAGACATAGAGGTGACCCACAAATTAAAAATACCCTGATTCCAATGAGAGCACCCTGCAGGCAGGGGCAGAGCCTTTTTCTCTGCCCCACAGTGCCTGACACAGAGTAGAGGCAAGATATGCTCATTAAATGAACGTGTATGAATGATGAGAAACAAACCGTGGGACTCAGGTGATTTTACTCAGGGTTTGCTGCTCCCCAGGGGACCTAGTAAAATAAAAAACTGCTGTCCCTAGATCAAGGGTGGAGATGTGGCAGAACTTCCTGAAGTTCAAGAACCTTACTGCTGAGCGCCAAGTATAGGAGAGACGGCCAGGTCTGTCCAGGTAGGAAGAGGAGGAGAGGACTGGCTTCTCCCAGTGACAGCTCTGGGCAGGGGCAGCTGGCCACCCCAGCCGGTCATCACTCCCTCCAGAGACTCACCCAAACATGGCTGCCGTCTGCCGTGTGTTCTGCTGGGGCGGGGTGGAGGTGCTTGTGGACAGGAGGGCGTCATTGCCTGCCTTCTCCCAGTCAAAGGCCTCATTCTCCGCAATGCCCCGCTCCTTCATGCTGTTCTCAAACACCGACATGATCAACTGTGGGGAGGGGGTGGCGGGTGGACAGAGAGGTGACCCTGGGGCTAGCCAGGAGGAAGGGGCAGTTGCTGGGATTACAGGGGGAAGAGAGGGGCCTTCCAGGACAGGGGTGGGCCTGGAGGGGGCATTGGAAGGAGAAGGGCACATTGATTTTAAATGAAAACATGCACACAATGTGCAAATCAGCATGCAAATGATCATCTCAGTTTAAGCCCCACTGGCTGGACCCAAGCCCTCCGAGATCTGGCCCCTGATGACCACTTCATCCTCCTCTGCCATTCTCACTAGCTCAGCACAAGGATCAACAACCCTGAACCACTAGGTGGTTTCCCAGACCCACCGCACAGGCTGCTTCCTCTGCCTGGGATGTCTTCCCACTGGTCCTCTCCTCTCTGAAGCCTCCTCTGACTCCCCTACACTCAGAGCACATCCCTCCCGACTCCCTTTCTACACACTATGTCTTTGGACACAGCAAACCAGATTTGAATGGATAACATGCCTCTCTGCCAACTCTGTATTATCTAGCAGCCAGCACGGGCCCAGCACAAGCTGGGCTCACAGCTGTGTGGGCTGGGGGGCCCCACAAGGCTGTGCAATGGTAGGGGGCATGGCCTCTGACTGCCTGAGGCACCCCTCCCAGCAACCAGGGCTCTGCGTTCTAGAAGTGGTGGGCAGCTGTACAGCCTCTGAGATCCCCAGATGGGTACCCTTCTGTCTTGGCTCTCTCTAGGATTCAGGGCAGGTCTTCTCTGCTGGTAGAGCCCTCAACTTCATTGAGTGCCTACTGTCTGCAGACACTGTCTGCTCACAGTGTGCAGCCCCATACCAGGCACACATAGCAGACCCTTGGCAGAACACTACCGAAGTCTCCCCCATTCTCCAATCAGGGACAGTGAGTTCCAGAGGGGTGTGGTGGTAATGTCTTAGAAAGAGCACTGGACTTGGAGTCAGATCTGTGCCTGAGCCCCACCCTGCTCCTAACCATGATATAGGGCCTCAGTTTCCTCATCTATGAAATGGGACAGTCATCCCACTTGGCTTCCTGCAGAGTTTTGGTGTAAAGTACTTGAAAGCACTTGGCTTTATTAATTGTTAGGTGCTGGAATAATAAGTACACTTATTGTCATCAAAGGCTTATTTTCAAGCTCAAATGAGTTAATGCATGGAGAGCGCTGGGAACAGGGAACGGCACACAGGAAGCTCTTAATAAATTGTAGTTATGACCACTGTTTAGGAGAGCACAAACAAGTTTTGTGCAGATACTCAGGGGTAAGTCAGCAGGGGCCTAGGGCCTCAGCAGGAGTGGGTTCTGTTGGAGGTCACCCACAGAGTGGTGTTCAGGGTAGGGGCAGGCAGGGGCATGACAGGGGGTGGCAGGTCCCCACCTGGTAATCAGGCTTGGTGAAGTAGTCGAGGCTGGCGATGTGGTCCAGGAAGAGGTGGAACTCAGAGGGCATATGCTTCAGCAGCATGCGGTGCTCATACTTCTCCTTGATCATCCCCACCTGCTCCTGGAGGCAGAAGAGCCCAGGGAGATGGAGCCCCAGTCATACCCTGCAGCTCCTCACCTCCTCAGACCCAGCTGCCTGGGGCTCACCTTGTCCTTGATCTTCCTCCAGGGCAGCTGGCCCACTGCAAACTCTACCAGCATGTAGAAGAGGGACCACAGGTCATCGTGGCGGCCCATCTCCTGGGGAGCAAGGGAAAGGGGTCACCCACAGCTCTCAGCTCCTTCCCTGGGAATGGGGGGATGGCCCTTTTCTGAGGGGCATCTGTCAGGGAGGCCTGATGCCCAGGCCCCTATGAGCAGAACTAACGTCTCCCTGTGGCCACGTCTCTATTCTCAACCCCTCAACCCACACAGGATTCCACTTCTGTTTATGCATTCTCACCCCACAGTGACTGGTGATGGGAACAGAGAGGATGGGATCTCAGAATAAAAGGAAGATGGTGAAGTCAAGGGGAGGCAACAGTGGAGGCTTCTTCCAACCCAGGGTATCTGGGGTGGCAGATTCCAGTCCCAACTCCATACTTTGCTCCTCACCTTGACATCAGCTGCCCACCCTACCCACTTCCCCAGTAGCATACTCAGCCCCTGACCTGTGCCCATTCTTCCTCTATATCCCTCAGTCTGGGTTCTGCCACTCACCCGGTTCTTGTGGGCATTGACTGAGGCATAGCGAACGGTCCCTCGAAAACCAGCCACATTCCGAGGCTGCAGAAGAGAGAACACCAGGAGCCTCACTCACTGCCTCCTGGCCTCAGCCACCTCCCAGCCATGTTGACCTGGTCAAGCTAGACCTGACACACCAACCCTGTGACTTGCTCTCCTACCTCCCATTCCTAACCCCCTGGACTCCTGACCCAACTCACTGCCCCTACACCTGTCCTTGGCCAGAGTGGGCAGAAAGATCACAGGGCGTGGCTGGGGCATCCACCAAAAGCCCAGGCTAAGGGAGATTGGGGATGGGCCAAGTAGGGACCCCAGAGTTGGATGATGCTGATGCTGAGCACAAGGCCAGGCCCGCTTAGGTGGCTGCAGGAAAAGTTGTTGGAGGGGGACCTTCTGTGAAGGGTCCCCAGACTGGGAACTGGGGTGGAGAGTCATCCACTGTCCTGACAGCCGTGGGTGTGGAGGCATGGAACTTGTGAGAGCGGTACTCACGGGCCGGACATCCCCTGTGGTGTTGGTGTACTGCCGGGCCAGCCCAAAGTCCAACATGTAGCACTTCCTGTAGGTGGAGGGCAGCCTGCCCATGGCAAAGTTTGACTGGGGAAGACAGTAGCTGTGAGCCCTGGGGACTCCAACCCCACCTGGCCCACCTTCAAGGGAAACGGCTTTGTAACCAGGGTGAAGGAGCCTCACCCCACATGCACTCACATGAGAATAAAACATCAACGTTTACACTTGTGCAGCAGGTTATGGTTTATGAAGCTCGCGTTATCTCGTCTGAGGGGCAGGTGTGATTATCCTTGCTTTAGAGCTGGGGACTCTGAAGGTCAAAGAGGGCTTCTCTGAGATCACACAGCAAGTGATGGCCAGCTGGGGCTTGAACCCTGGTGTCTCCAGCTCTAAATCCTTGGCACTCCTCAGCAGGGCCGTGTGGTTTATTGTAACCCATCTTGCTCTGAGGTAGCCAGAGGAGACCTGGGTGTTTTTTTTGTTTGTTTGTTTTGTACTTTAAGTGGAAGTTTACAATTCGAGTTAGTCTCTCATACAAAAATTTATACATACATTGTTATGTGGCCCTAATTGCTCTCCCTATACTGTGACAGCACACTCCTCCTTTCACCCCTGATTTCCCGTGTCCATTCAACCAGCTCCTGACCCTCTCTGCCTTCTCATCTCACCTCCAGACAGGAGCTGCCCATTTAGTCTCATGTATCTACTTGAGCTAAGAGGCACACTCTTCACAAGTATCATTTTATGTCCCATAGTCCAGTCTAATCTTTGTCTGAAGATTTGGCCTCAGGAATGGCTTTAGTTCTGGGTTGACAGAGAGTCCGGGGGCCATGCTCTCTGGGGATCCTCCAGTCTCAGTCAGACCATCAAGTCTGGTCCGGTGGTTCTTTTTTTATGTGACCTTGGGCAATTCAACTAACCTCTCTGGGCCTTAGTTTTCACTTCTATAAAGATCCAAGATCCAAGTCGCCACAAAACTGGCTACTTGCAGGACTAATGGACCACAACTACCATGGCCTCCACCAGACTGAGTTCAGTATAACTAGATGGTGCCCAGCTACCACCACTGACTGCTCTGACAGGGATCACAACAGAGGGTCCCGGACAGAGCTGGAGAAAAATGTAGAACAAAATTCTAACTCACAAAAAAAGACCAGACTTACTGGCTTGACAAAGACTGGAAAAACCCCCAGAGTATGGCCCCCGGACACCGTTTTATTTCAGTAATGAAGTCACTCCCGAGGGTCACACTTCAGCCAAAGATTAGACAGGCCCATAAAACAAAACAAGACTAATGGGGCACAACAGCCCAGGGCAAGGACTAGAAAGCAGAAGGGGACAGGAAAGCTGACAATAGGGAACCCAATATGAGAAGGGAGAGTGTTGACATGTTGTGGGGTTGTTAACCAATGTCATAAAACAATATGTGTACTAACTGTTTAATGAGAAACTATTAGTTCTATAAACCTTCATCTAAAGTACAATAAAAAAAATTTTAAAAAACAGCTACTTGGAATTCCTTAGGCCTCTCAGTCTCCTTCTCTCCATCCCCCCCTACTCCTTCACTTTTCTAGGTTCAAGGACTATTCAGGTCAGGGTTGAGGGATGAGGAAGAAAAGTGAGCAGAAGAGAGGGCACGGGCACAGCCAAGGGGAGGGCAAGGGTATGCACTCCTGGGAGGCAGGAGAAAGGAGGAGATGGGGCTCTGGATGGAGAGCCGGAATTGGGGTACGGGTAGAAAAGGCTGTCCCAGCCCCACCACTGTTCTCGAGAAGAAATAGGGACCCAGAGAGAGAGAGGAGGAGGAAGTGTGCTTTGGAGGAAGGGACAGAGGGTGGGGTGGGGCGTGGCACTCACTGGCTTGATGTCCCGGTGTAGGAAGCCTACAGAGTGGATGGCCTCAATAGACTCCAGGATCTGCTTGCCCAGCCGCAGTGTGGTGCTCAGCGTGAAGGTGCCTCGAGGCTGGCTTCGGCGCAGGTCGGCCAGGTTCCGGCCCTAGTAGGTATGGGCAGGCCCACTTCAGTGGCCAGCCCAACCACCACCACCACTGCCACCACCAGAACACTCTGCCCAGCCTGCCTTCAAGATTGAGCCCCTCCCCACTCTCGCCAGGAGCCCCAGTCTCCCTTCCCCTCCCCACTCCCGGAGACACAGCCTAGACTCTTGGGAGAAGAGGATGGGCCACAAGAATTCACCTGCAGCTGCATTACTACATAGTTGAACTTCTCGTTCCTGCCACAGCCAATGAACCTGCACACGTGGTCTTTCCCTGAGGGACACAGACAAGGGTCTCTCAACTCCAGTTCTTTCCTCACTTCCGACCCTAAGATGGGATTCTGGTGCCCCTTGGTTCCTCTCTGCCCTTGTCCCCCAGCCCTGGCCCCATGACCACCCTTCGCATCATCTCCCTCTGCCCTATCATCTCTCTTAGACTTTGACTCCGCCACCTCCTCTAACCATGGTCCTATGCCAACTATCCTATCAACTCCCCCTTAGCTCCTGGCTCCATCACCTCTTCCCTCCACCATACTACATCTCCTCCTCCCAGCTTCTTATCCCATCTCCTCTGTCATCCCCTGGGTGCATCAGCTCTTTCCTCCTATGCTCCCGCCCGCACCTTGCAGCTTCTTGAGCACGGCCACCTCCATCTTGAGGACCTGCTTGGGCTGCTGGGCTGACTCCACCTTGAGGGCCACGTTCTCCCTGGTCAGCAGGTCCATGGCCTCGTAGATCTCACCAAAGCCCCCGCCCCCGATCTTCTTCAGCTACAGAGATGGGGTTGGAGGGTACAGGGACCAGGCTGAGCAGCTCCTCATCCCACCCATGCTGGGTCTCCTCCTTCATCGATGTGGGGCAGGGGAGATCCTTGAAGGGGAGGACCCATGTCTTCCTTTCTTGTTCTACCTCATCCCCGCCCCTGCCTCCTCTCCCAGTACCATGAGATAGAGAGCTCAGCCCATGGGTGTACAACCATCCTTGGGGGCAAGCATGCATACACACACAGACACATGGATGTATACAGACAGACACACACATAGGGCCAGATGTCAGAGTGGGCAGTGGGAAAGGGTATGAGGCCTGTGACTCCATACTGACACGGAGATAAGCTTCTGCAGGATTCTGAAGAGATAATGGGGCCGCCCTGGAAGTAGACAACAAACACCACCCCTAAAGAGGCTGAGCAACTTCCATCCAGAAGGAAAACCAACTTCCAGGACATCCCAGCCTCAGGATAGATCCCACAGGGAGGCCGGCTCTTCCTGAGGTTGGCAGTCTCTTGAAAGATGTTACCAGAGGAGAGAGTTGGGGGAGGAGTGAGAAAGGACTCAGCAAAGGGTGCTCACTGCCCATGCCCACTGCAGAAGCTCACACCACTCCACAGGTCCCTGGTTAGATGCCCAGACCAGAGTGTGCCCCTGCTCCAGGCGAGTGGGGCACTGCGGCAGCAGGGTGGGGATGGAGGCTTGGAGAAAAACCTGTCCATTCCTGGGGGGCAGCACAGCAGTGATCCAACCCACTAAGCCCTCCTCCCTCGGCATCCCAGCCCAACTGGAGCCGTCACGTGGGAAGGGAAGAGAGAACACCAACGGGCCAGTGGAGAGATAAACAGTGCCCCCTCTGTCCACGCCAGACTCCTAAGGTCAAAGCAGTCTGAGAACCCTCCCCCTTCCTGGCCCCATCCCTGATGGGAGGAAGGGAGGCAGGGAGGGAGTCAGGATCAAGCTGGGTCCTCGGGACCATTCTGAGCTGGCATCTCTACTCTCAGGAACAAGGTGTCAAGTACGTTACAATCAGCAGCAGACCCAGGAACCCTGCGGCAGACTCCACTGTCCTGCAGTCCAGTGCAGCCCTGGGGTGAACAGGGTAGTGCACTCAGTGGGCAACAGCTACAGCCGGGTGGCTCTACTGAGACTGGAGGGAGGCACCCTAGCCCTGGAAGCAGGCTAGGTGGAAAGATGAGAAGGTGAGCTGGGGCAGGAGGAGGGCAAAAAGAGCTCTAGAAGGTTCCTAGCAACTAAACCAAAAACCAAACCAGGTGGCATCAAGTTGATACCGACTCATAGTGACCCCATGTATGCAAAGTAGAACAGTGCTCCACAGAGTTTTCAATGGCTATGATCTTTCAGAAGTAGACTTCTAAGTCTTTCTTCCCTGTTGGGTTCAAAAGCCAAGTTTCAGTTAGTTGCTGAGCACTTAACCATTGGCACCCCCCAGGGACTACTTGGTAACTAGTAGATGTTTCATAAATTTCTGTTGAATGAAGACATGGAGAAGTGGGAAGAGAGACAGGAGTGAAGGAAAAGGCGAGGTTCCCAGAGACCAGGCTACGGTATGTCACTATGGTGTGACAGGACAAGGATTCAGCAGCACCCCACAAGGGAGAGAACTGGTGGGGGGAGACCTAGAAAGGGAGCCACTTGCTGAGGGGCCTATTGGGTGAGAACTGAGAGATGAGGTGATGAGGGCCAGCCCTGGGAATGCAGAGGGTGAGAAAAGGCAGAGGGGATAACTGTGATGAAGCAAGAATTGGTATGTGGTGGGGGAGGAGTGGGTGAATAAAGCTGAGTTATGGGGAGGAATTAAAAATCATTTCAAGTCAGAGGTCTAGTGGGCCATGGAGGGCGAAGGTGCTGATGGCAGTGATGGAGGAGGAGGCAGAAGGTACTGAATCTAGGTTGGGACTCCTTTGGTTTAAGAGAGATGCACAGCTCAATTCTCATGTTCTCAGGGAGCCCGCCCCTCATGGGTGACCTGCCCTCTCTGAGTGTACTCCCGAGCCCTCACTGTGTCCTGCCGAGTCGTTACTCGTTACTTGGCAGTCACAGCTGGGCTTGCTAGTAATTGGAGCAAGGGTGCTCTGAACCCGCAGCCAGGCTGACAACTCCTGTATCACTGTGTCTGCTCCTCAGCATGTATCCAGCACTCGGATGCCCAGTAAATGTTTAATGGTGGTTGGAATACGGGAATGGAGAGAGGAAAGGGGCAGGGCAGAGCTGGAGGACTGGGAGTTCCCAGCAGGTTACAGTTGAAACCCCTCCAGAAAGAGAGAAGGATGAAGAGAAGAGTAGGGCTGGGTGGGGTCTTGAAGATTATTGTGCCCAGGAAGGAGATAGGGAAAGAGGAAGGAGAAAGAACAATGAGATGTCAGAGCCCCTCTCTACTTGAGATAGAACTTAAAGTCAGACTTCTGGAAGAGTTTCAAATCCAGGACAGTGCAGACTCGGAGCTTAAGGGAAGCAGTGGCAAGTCTTCCTCTGGGGAACTTTAAACATAGGGGAGATTATCTTCTAGATTCCTTTATGATGTGTGGGCATGGAGAAAAGGGCAAGGGGACTGGAATAACCACCACATCTTAGGTTCTGTCCTCCAGATTCACAGAGGTCACCTCAGTTAATCCCCAAAGTCTCCCAACAACCCAGATGAGGCAGATCATATAAGTCCCCATTTTGCACATAAGGAAAACGGAGGCACAGAGAGTTAAGCATCTTGCCTCAGGTACCTTGCTTGTTGTCAGCAGCCGTAGAGTTGGCACCCTGACTCATGGCGACTGCATGTGTTACAGAGTAGAACTCAAGGGTTTTCTTGGCTGTAACCTTGATGGAAGCAGTTCGCCAGGTCTTTTTTCTGCAGAGCCTCTGGGAGGGTTCAAAGCGCCAACCTTTCAGTTAGCAGCCGATTGCAAACTTCTTGCGCCACCCAGGCTCCTAACCTGATTCAGAACCCACATCTTAACTGCTGTGTTATAGGAACTGTCAGTCACATCAGGATTAAAAGCGTGAGTGCTGAATTGCACCCTTGAGGACTGTGCTCTTTTAAAAATTATTCACCTGAGACCAAATGGACATGGTTATTCTAAAGCATAGACGAGAAGTTTGGGTGGGGGGGGGCAGTGAGACTAAACTAATGGGAGTAGAACAACTGGAATGGAAATAATGAGAATGTTGACGAAAACTGAAGAAAGTAACCAGTGTCACTGAACATTATGTGTAGAAATTGTTGAATGGGAACCTGTTTTGCTGTGTATACTTTCACCAAAAATACAATAAAATACTAAAAAGTGTGAGTGCTGAGATTCAAGCCTAGACCTACCAGGCTCCAAAATCCTTGCTGGAGGTAAGTGTGGAGGACTCTGGGCAACCAAGACATTATGACACCTACTTCCTAAATTTCCCAGGGTGCCCACAGGTATTTCTTAACACCTTCATTTTCAAAGAGAGCCCACTTCCCCTTCCTTAGTCCTCTCCTCACCACCCCCTCCATATGGAAGCTCCCTAGGGTGGGAGTGGGCATCTGCACCCACTCACGTAACACCCCTCTTCCCTGGGCCCCACAGCCAGGGCAGACTCATCCATTCGGCACACGGACTAGGCCCACATACTTATAGGGGGTCCATGAAGCCCATGAAAATGTTCTGATTTCTTTTAAAATCAGGAGAATATGAATTTTTAGGTCAAAAAAAATGTTTTATAATATATTAATATATTCATCTTTGTACCAATGCAGTCATAAAAAATAACTTTTAGTACTTTTTTAAAGAGGAGGGGGCCCACAAAAGTCAAAATGTGGCCCTGCCCACAGCCCAGTAACAGAAATATTCTCACAGTCTCCCTTTGCCAGACCCTACTCCTCCTCTCCTAAACTTCTCATGATCCCCTCCCCTGCAAAAGGACTTCCTTAAACTGGAGGAGAAGTTGGCCCAAGAGAACTAGCATTCACCTAGGAAAAAGGAGGCCTGGTTTCTCAGGCTAGGCCCAGATCTGGGTGACCTGGAGTGAGTTTTTTAAACTCTGAGTCTCCATAGTTTCCCTTCTGTAAAATGAAGAGAGTTGAACTACAATTGGTAGCAAAGAATCTTTCAGCTCTATTCTCCTAATTCTTGGATGGGCTAATGTCTTGGGAACATAAGTCAACTTGTGTTGACCCAGCAGTCAGACAAACTTGGCTCCACCTATTAGTCGTGGGAATTTGGCAAAGTAGCTAATCTTTGTGCCTCAGTTTCTACACCTGTGAAATGGGGATAAACGACTGTATCTACTTCAGAGGTTACTGAGATAACACATGTAAGGTATTCTGAACAGTGCCTGGCAACAGTAAGTACTCAAAACAAATGCTAGGTTTTTATTATTATGAATTGTTTAATATTTCAATTCTGAGAATCACCCCTCAGGGAGAATAAAATGGTATTTTTTTAAATGTTCTATTAGGGCCACTGACCCCCACTTTCTCCTGGCCACAGCCCATCTCTGGCAGTGTTCTTAGTTCCTGAGCTCTGCCTCATGCCTCTGTCCCATCCCTCACTGTAGGGAGGCATCTGGAATCCCATCCTCTCTAGTTCTCCAGGGGCAGGGGTGCAGGTGTTGTGGGAAGTGGATGGGTAAGGAGAGGTGGTCAACAGGCCTGGCAGAGGCAGCATACTACCACCACCCTACCCTCCCGTCTTTCCCCACCATCTCCCATTCCCTCCCTCAAAAAACAAAAGTTCTAACTCAAACTCCTGTGAATACCATGCGTGTGAATACCATCTTTTTCTCACCTCTTCAGTGCAAATATCATCCTTCCTCCAATCTGCCAGAAACTAAGAACTTGTGCCAGGGGATTCAGGAATCTTGGAGGAATCCTTCTCACTCTGCCAGATCCTTATTCCTTTGATTACTGCCCTGGCTCTTCTTCCTCCCTCAATTACTGTCCTGTTATTCTCCCTCTCAAGAGGTCCCCCTCTGGGACAAAGACAGCCCCTTCCCTCACCTTTCCAAGCCCCTCTAACCCTAGGAGTGTCCTCTGTTTCCACCCCACCCCCCAGTCCCAGAGACAACCCCTGACAAAGCTGCCACCTCTGCCGCTCTCCCTGGGTCTCTAGGGGACCTGCACGGCGGGTGGCTGTTGCTATGGAGACTCACGTGCACCCAGGCCCCACCCTCCTCTCCAACCCTGCACCCCTAGTGAGCTGAGTCCCCCCCCACCGAAAAGCTGCGCGCGCGCACACACAGACACACAGACACACACACACACACACACACACACTCAGTGTAAGCCTGAATTCTGCAGTTTTTTTCTTCCTTCTGCCTGGCTCCCCACTCCGGTGCAGACCCACAAGCTCACACCCTGGTTCCCCCCACACTACCCATCAACCCCAGAATCCGGCCCACATCATCCTGCTCCCATAAGAAGACATCAAAGAGCTCTTAAGCAACGGCAAGAAAGGAAGGTGGGGCAAGGGTTGATTTACAGTAGGCCTTGCTCCCGAGACACTGCCTTTCCCCGCAACCCTCACGTTCCCCCCTCCCACCCACGCCCGACGCCCGAGAAGGATCGGACTACAACTCCCAGCAGGCCGAGCAGCCTGAAGTCCTGGGCTGGAGGAGCAAGGCACGCTGGGAGATGGAGTCTCGGCGTGTTGCACCTGCCGCAAGAACCAGTGAGGGGAGGAGGGCGGACTGAGAAGATGGAGTGCGGATGCGGTGGGAACAGCCTGCAGGGCCTCTTCCCCCAAACCCAGGCCTTTCCGTCCTCTGCGGAAGCGGAGGGGCACATGCTCATTCACTGCCCTTCTCCAAGGTCCGGCAGATAAAGAGCCCCCTTCCCCCCACCCCGCTCCACTGAGCTCTGCAGCTCCTGCCCGGACATTCAACCAGCAGTTGTTCCAGGCTGGGCCGGACCAACCGGACCCAGCGGGGAAAGGGCTGAGAGAGGGTGGGCCCGGAGAGAGGGCAGTGGGAGAAAGTGATTGTCCACTCGTGTAGGCAAAAACAAAGATCTGCAAACAGTATGCAAATGAACTCAGGGGCCCCGCCCTCCTGTTGGGGCGCTGAGGGCACCTGATTTAACAAGTCTCCAGGTCCTTTCTTCCCCCGCCCCTTCCTTTGGCTCGGTGGGTCACTCACCACCTTCCAGCGATCCTTGACCACGTAGTTGGCCGGCAGGATGTCGGCCTGCTCCCCTCCCCCACTCATGTTGGTTTCGTCCTTAAGAGCGGCCGCTAGGCACTGCATCCGCCAGCCGGAGTGAGGGGTGTCCGCAGGGCCTGCCCTGGGGAGGCCATCTACCTGGGGGAGTGGGAAGGGACTGTGAGTGGGGACGGCCTGCGGGCCCAGGATCACCTTGCAGATGTGGAGGATGGGATTTCCGCCGGACCATAAATCTCCACTCCCCTGGCAGGCATCCTTCCCGGGCCCCTTGGGCAGATGCTCCAGGGGTTATTGGGGGAAGCATTGTGTAAATACCCGGGTGGGGGTCCGGGGAGAAGATAGAAATACTATCCACAGGAAGGGAGATACAAACGACAAACTGAAGATGTGAAAACCAGTAACACGACACACATGTTGATGAATAAAGGAGAAGAAAACGATGTGTAAACTGGCCATGGGGAAAGTGTCCACCAAAGAGACATATGCTAACTAATGTAGCGGAGGCTTACTAACCAAGGGATGGACTGGAATGGCACCCACACTTGTGTAGGGGAGACCCCAGCCAAAGACCAGTCTTTAGTGACTGACCCGCGGCTCCAGACACTCACACCTTCCCTGTGCCACAAAATGTCCCTGAAGCTGTGGCTTTTTAAAAGGGAAGACCTGCTGACCAAGGGGTGACCCAGATGGAGATCCATACCACAGTGACAGAGGCTGCTAATCACCCATGGGAGATGTGATCATAAACCCTTGAGGATGGAGCAAAGGAGGATGCAGCTGCTGAGAGGCAGATACCATTTCTCGTGGAGAGCCGAACCCAGCGACACAGCCATCGGGTTGGGAAGCTGGGAAATGATCGATGGGGTGAACATAAGGCAATGGACTCAAGATGTGGATTTCAGAGGGACAGCAGCCCCATGGGCACTCCAGAGGGAAAGAGTCAAGACTGAATTGGGGGAGAAGGGATCTAGAAGAGCAGGAAAGTGAGAAGGACCTAGCAGAAAGCAGGAGGAACGGCAAGAAGGAGTAGGTCTGGGCAGGGGGCACTGGTAAGACAGCCTCTGACCATACCTTTCAGTTTTTTGAGGAACTGACAAAAAGGAACACAGCTCTTGTCTAATTAGGATGGGTAGAAGTTGGCTATCAGGGAGAGTTTCCCAACTGTGAGGGTTAGTCAGGGGAGTACAAGTGTGTGCATATGTGTATCTGTGCATGTATGAGTCTGTATGCATCTTTGTGTGTATCTGAACATCCGTCTACGTGTCTGTGTCTTTATGTGTGATTTTCTTTGTGTGTCTGTGTGTGCTTGTGTGTGTCTGAGTGAGTTTTTGTGTCTTTATACATTAGTCTATCTGTGTCTCTGGGTGTGCTTATGTGTGTTTGTGTGTGGTGTGCATGTGTGCAGGCAGGGGGCCTGAAGAGATGCCTTTTTGAGATCCCTACTGGTCCCGCACAGGATTTGTAACCGGGATCTTTTCCTCTGCTCTTACCACCTATACTTTTTATATGCACACAGCTCTGCCCTCACAATGACGCTGGAGTGTCACAGACGGAAAAGAAAGAGGGAAGTTGCTCAGGCTGAGGAGGGGAAGATAAGAGAAAATGAGAGGGCCTAAAATCTCTATGGATGGGGAGGTGGGCTCCATAAACCTGTCTTCTTTGGGATGGGATTATTTCCTAGGCCTTGGTCTAGTCATCCTGATACAGAGGGCAAGGTGGGATGGCAAAGGTGTAGAAACAAGCTTCAACAGTTCATGAGGTACCATGGGGGACATGTGCGGAAGGGATCTTCATGGGGAAGGACATTTTACTCTTTTTCTATCTTTCTTCAAATGACTCAGCTAGCTGAGTTGTTTCCTCCAATCCACACAACTTTAGAGCACAGGATTATGGGGGTATCAAATAGGCCTCTTTCCTCCTTCTGCCAAACTGGGGTATTGGACACTTGGAATTTGGAGGGCAAGAGGACAATGACAGCATGAAGAGAGGCAGGGATGGGGGTGGGGTCCTGGAATAAAGGTAGAAGAGACAGATTAAGGACAAGACTGAAGAAGCAATTGAACTGGCAGTGGGGGAGGGGGTCTGTTTTAGGAGTTAGACTGAATGACCTCTAGTGGGCCTCTGATGGTGGATTCTATAGGCTGATGAAGAAAATTTTGGTTCTGCTCCCATTTTACAGTTGGGCAAACCTAGCAGGAACAGGTGAGGTGGGAAAGGAGAGTGGAGGCCAGAGGATAAATGAGGGTTACCTGCTTCTGCCTATCCACCATCCTTCCACTCCCTGCCTCAGAGGACTAGGTACTCTCAGCTCAGACTGGAGTTGGAAGACACCAACACAAGGAACTTGGCTGCCCCATTACTGTCTCCTCAGCCCCTTTGGGTGTGTGGAGGCATGAGTGTGTAGTGAGAGAGGGCTTGCAGAGGTTCCTGTGGATGTCTGTCAGAGAGTGTGCCTGTATGGGGCCAGTGATATGTGTGAGGGAGGGAGACAGAGAGTCAGAGAAAGACATGTACCTAAGTAGTTGGGAACTCATCTGGATGCTTGTGAATACAGGTGTTGATGTGTAACTGCGCAAGGTATGAGCCAGGTGTATTGTGAATCTGGGAGCACAGGTAAGGAGAAGTCAGGGAAACCCGTGAGGGGCAATGGGAACAGGTGAAGAGGTGTGGAAGGGGCAGAGGTGAATGGAATGAATGGATGACGGGTGACTGGATCAGAGGAGGGGGTTTGGTAAGATGGAGACAGGTGAGAGAGAATGATGACAAGTAAGGCAGCGACAGCCCCTAAGAGGCATTTCTGGGGACTGTTGAGGGGGTGAGGAAGTAGGCAAGAAGGCTAGTAGTGAGAGGAACCCAAGGACTGAGGACAGGAGAGAGGTTATGGAGACAGCTGGGAATGACTTGTCAGGAGTACAGTAGAGTCACATGTGCAGGGACAGGGGACAGAGGTAAGTAGTGAGAAGCAAAATCCCTGGAGGACAGGCAGGAGGGGGTGGGTATGTGTGCTGGGGGCAGGGAGCGGCTCCAGGCCTCGGACTGCGGCCCAGGCTGTGTAGGCCAGCGTCCCGGCTCGGGTGGAGACGGCAGCGGTGCGGGGGAGCTGGAGAAGCTGCGCCGGGAGGCGAGCCAGGCCAGAGGCCCGAGCAGCCCACAGAAGAAGCCCCTTCCCCGACCCCGC